TGTAGTCCACTTAATGCTAACATTTTTAATGTGACATTTTGAATATGTAAATGTTTAATTTGATCATCTCTGTTGTTTTTTTCCTGCCTTTTTTTTCTTTCTTTTTTGGTGAGTTAATCTCAAATCTTCTAACATTGTTGAGTAATTGGCTATGAAGACCACAGTCAAAACATAGAATTACAGAAAATTATAATAACTAGGATATACTGAAGACAAATTAAAGTTTTGTCATATGCTAGATTGCTTATTGAATTGGAGTTGTTTAACATAAAAAAAAACCCTATTCAGAATAAATGTTCTGTTAAAAATGTGATTAGAAGAAACTTAAAAAAAGTGTAAAATACACAGATGTAACGTAGGCTTGTAATATTTATTTGTTCTCTAACTTTTGCTTCCCGCTCATCCCAACCCCCATCATTCTCTCCCCAATCTGTTGTGGACGCCCAACTCTGGACACAGGTTCCGATCCAAGTACCACCCTGACGAGGCCAGACGACTTAAGGCAGAGGCCCAGAGGGCTCTGCACAACCGCCTGAATGTGTTCATTTTCCTAATGGAGAACGGCTGGTTTGATAATGTCTCCCTGGACATTGAACAGACCCCAGCCATCATCAAAGTTTTGGATGCAGGTGAGGTCTCAAACAACTTAAAGAGCATTGTTAACCTGTGGAGTTTTCATTTGTATCTACAATTAAGTCTGCTTTTAAAATAAAAGCAAAAATGATCTGACCTAATTGCATGGATGGTACTTAGAAGAGTACTTCTATGGCTGAACCATAACGTTCTTTCTGCATTTCAGCTGTGATAAAAATGGAAGGGGGCACAGACCATGATCTTCGCATCTTGGATCTGCCATCTGAAGAGGAAGAAGACAGAGAGAAGTCAGCATCTATTTCCAGGGGCACTGAAGTTCCCAAGAGAGAAGACCTCAAAGCTTTGGGTAGTGACTGCAAACCAGTGGAGAAAGACAGAAATGAGAAGGTATGTGTGCTCTGTTAGACAGGCGGTAGACATTTCATGAGGCTCTGTTGATGACAATGAACTGTGGCACAGGAGGGTAGTGACTCAGCCAGCACAGAGAAAGCTGCCACAGCAGAAGGAGAGAATGTGAAAGAGGAGGCAGAGAAAGAACCAGCAAAAGAAATTCCTGAACCTAAGAAAGTAAGTGTTCCTTCTGATACTGAATTAGTTCTTACCAAGAGAAAGAAAGAAATTGAACTGGCCTGATTGTTTTTCAATTTGATTGTTTAGCCAAGAAGAAAGAGGAAGCGCAGCGGGGACAGCGATGATGAAGCCAGCGCCTCGGAGAGTGACTCGGACTCAGATTCAGACTCCAACTCTAACTGCTCTGACAAACCAGTGAAGAAGGAAGAGGAAGACAAGGATGAGGAGGAAGAGGAAGGTGAAGGTGAGAAATCATGCCTGTAGTGTCTGGTTATACATTTTCAGGAGTATAATATGTATCTTTCTGTAATTTAGCACTCATCAAATAAATCTCCCTTTCCTAATGATTCAGAGGAGAAACCTAAGGAGAACTCCGAGGAGGACAAGAAGGAAGAGAAAAAGCCTAAAGATGACTCTCCTAGACCACGGCCTCTCCACAGGACTTGCTCTCTGTTCATGAGAAGCATCGCTCCCACCATCTCCAAGGCTGAGATTATTGCTGTGAGTTGTATAAAAGAAGCGTACCTATCAGATCCAGATCTTTAAGTGCACTAAACAGATGCGTGTCCTGGTTTAAACTGAGCGTGGTTTCTTTTTCTTCTCAGCTGTGTCGACGTTACCCTGGGTTTCTGCGTGTTTGCTTGTCTGATCCTCATCCAGAGCGCAGGTATGAAAAATGAAAACTTTGCATTATTTGCTACACTAAAGTGTAAATGGTTGGATTAGTGTAGTCATTCATTACTTTGACATGAAACCTGCACCGTTTCAGGTTTTTCAGACGTTGCTGGGTGACTTTTGACCGTAGCGTCAACATCAAAGAAGTCTGTTGGAACCTTCAGAACATTCGGGTAAGTGCACCAGTCATAAGTGTTGGCACTGCTATAACTTTGTGTTGCAGGTGGCTTTAGAGATGCAGAGATCGTTTAAATTTCAGCTGAGGCCTTTACCAGTCTGTTTTTACCCTTCACAGCTGCGAGACTGTGAACTGGCACCGGGGGTGAACAGGGACCTGGCTCGGAGGGTGCGTAATGTTAATGGCATTACTCAGCACAAGCAGATTCTCCGCAATGACATCAAGCTGGCTGCCAAGCTCATTCATGCCTTGGATGAGAAAGGGGAACTTTGGAGCAACAAGTCCCAGGAAGAAGGGCAGAGCAGTGAGGTATAGTACCTGTCCCCATGCAATTTAACCGATTTTTCTCAAGTTATTTGACCATCATCATTATTTGTGGGGTTTTGTTATTTCCACAGTTGCCAGCGCAGAACCCCATCCTGAAGAATATTACCGATTACCTGATAGAGGAGGTCAGTGCTGAGGAGGAGGAGCTTCTGGGCTCCGGGAGTGGAATGGATTCTGAGGAGGGCATCAAGGAAGGAAACCCTGCAGAGATGACTGTTGAGAGGGATGACAAACTTGTCAAGGTCATTCCTTTACCACACTTAGAACAGTTTAAGATATAATATCCATCTGCTCTTCTCTTTTAAAAGTGGGTTTCTCCATTTGTATCTTCACTGTGCTAGGCCTGTCAATTTTACCATGTGTTGTTTCAGGTTTTGGATCGTTTGGTCTTGTACCTCCGTGTTGTGCACTCAGTTGACTACTACAACACCTGTGAATACCCCAGTGAGGATGAAATGCCCAACCGATGCGGCATGATTCATGTACGTGGACCCATTCCTCCCAACCGCATCACACATGGAGAAGGTCAGTGTTCTTCCCTTTTCATGTTACGTGACACAAAAGAGACCTCTGGGATGAAAACGTAAATGTTGACTCAGCTGTAGTGAAAATGAATCTTCCAACATCCTGAAGTTGACGTGAATTTTAACTGTTGTGTTTGCTAGTTAAACATTTGCTGTGCTTAGACTATTTTGCCACCTATCATAAACAGTGCCAAATGTAGGCAATGCAGATTGCAAAAAAAAGTTTAAGTGAGGATTTTAAAGTTTTAGTGTTGATTCAGAATTTAATAAGATGACATCCCCTCATTCAACAGTGCAACAGTGGGAGAAAATGATGGAGGAGAAGTTGGCCCCCTTGTTTAGTTTAAAAGAAGTCTTGTCTGAAGAAGAGGGGGTGAAGATGGGCCGCAAGGACCCTGAAGAAGAAGTGGAGAAGTTTGTGTCTGCCAACACACAAGAACTGGGAAAAGATAAATGGCTCTGCCCTCTAAGTGGAAAGAAATTTAAGGTTGGCACTTGGAATGAATAGTATTCAGGACTGTACAGCATGACCACAGTCAATGCATTTTATTAAACACAAAGGAGATATACCAGTAGTTTTTGTTAGAAGTTCTGTTGTAATTTAAAAATAATAATAATCAAGAATTATTTCTGTATATATTTTTTATTTTTTTTATTTCAAATCAAATTCAAGGGTCCAGAGTTTGTACGGAAGCACATCCTCAACAAACATGGGGATAAAATTGAAGAAGTGAAAAAGGAGGTTAGTTTCTTCAACAATTTCCTGATGGATGCCAAGAGGCCGTCACTGCCAGAGATGAAACTTCCTCCTCTTCCAGGCCCAAGCCAAGGTCGGTTTGAGATTTTTGTCTAATCAACCCAGAACTACAGATATTCTTCAACAGAGATAAACAGAATAGTAAGAAAAAGATACACTGGGCCCGTTTTATCTTGCAGGTTTGCTCAGTCCCAGTATGCCGTTTCCTCCCCAAGGTCCTCAGGGTCCAATGGGCTTTGCACAGCCTCGTCCTCCTCTGATGGGCTACGGTGGTATGTTCTGAATTTACCCTTTTATACTAAAAATGAGAATGTGCTTTCCAGTCAAGTCGCAACACTTTTTCTTTTTTCAAATTAAAATCATTTTTTGAAGCTGGTGGGCCTCCTTATCCACCCAACCAATATGGTGGAGGCAGAGGCAACTATGACAACTTCCGCGGACAAGGTGAATACCTGGGTAAGCCGCGCAACATCAGGTGAGACCGCTGTACGTGTCTTTATTTTGCTACAAACATTTTCTTTTTTCTGCTAATGTGGAAGTTTGAAACTCCCTTTAAAAGATCGTTTCTACTGTTTTTCTGTTTGCATTGCCATCCATTGCAGAATGTCACGAGGTGACCCACGCAACATCATTGAGTACCGTGACCTGGATGCACCAGATGATATGGACTTCTTTTAGAAGGTTCACATTTTTTGCTCTTTACCAGTGTTGTGTTCTGCCTGCTTTTTGGAGTAATGAGATTATTTCTTTTCTTAAAAGGCTTGTTTTGTAATTATTGTGCAACCAGAACTGCTGTAAACAGATTCATTAATAAAGTTGTGATCAAATTACAGTAATAAGTATTAAATTACTTGTGAAGTCGATCTGATATAAAAAGAAGTAATCTGTGACAAAGTGCATCATAATTTTTTAGTGGATCTTAAATAATACACAGCTTTTTTTTGGGGGGGGGGGTACAGCTCAAAACAACACAATATCCAGTAAGATTTTTTTCTTTTGTTCATGAAAACTAGTGGGATTGTTTTAATAATGCAAAATAAAAGGAAAAGTATGTCATGTTATGAGATAATAATTGAATCATTCCAAATATGTACAGCTTTCAGAAACACGTGAGAAATTTTTTTCAATATGTTGTTAAAATTATTGCCAAACATGATTAAACTAATAATCCTCCAGTGTTTTCCATACAAACAGCAGTGCCACATAAAGGCTTCACGTCATAATTATTTAAAACATGTGATGAGCAGTTTTAAATACAGGCACATTTTTATAGACTGATGATCACAGGAAACCTTCAATGTTAATATAGGTCCATCACGTCAGATCCATAGTGACTCCAAGTCGTATTTGGTGCAAACAGTTTATGTCAAAATATCTAAATTATCCGAAGCTCGTGATTTTCTGAAAGTCCGCAGCTGACCTTGTGTTCGTGGAATAATTTGGAAAGGGCCTCCATGTAAAGTCTGTGATAATGGTCGACTTCCTCGTCTGTGGGCGTGACACGTTTCGGCACTGAGATTGGACTTCCCACTGAAAAGAGTACAGTGTGAGAATAAAATGGGCTCAGTACATAAAAGTGGTATTGGCTATTTAAAGAATAATAAAATACCCACCAACAGTCGTGATTGGAGTCCTGTAGGGCATGAGAACAAAGCGCTCACCGACAAAGAGACACGGTGCAAAGCCCATGATTTTTTTAAACAAGTCCTGTAACCTGCGACACAGACTGCCCTCTGCGAAAATCACCTGCTGGTAGAGCTCATTCTCCCCGAATGAATAAACAGGCACCAGATCAACACTGTGGAAGGTCAGAGTTCAGGTTTCAGTGTTTTACATATTTATATATTTTCTTTCTTAGTGTATAATTCTCACCCCAACTCAAGGGCCAGTCTGACAAATCCCTTTCTTTCCTTCATGACCACTGTGTTGAGTCCGGGAGAGGATGCCAGAGACTCGGCAGCGCCTCCTATCACAATTACCACTGCATTCCCTTTGCCGCTTTTTGAAAGGAGGTGGACCAGGCTTGGTTTGCTGACTGGGTAAAGTCCTTATCAGACAGAGTAAGAACATCAGTAGTTCAGGTCAGGAGCATAACAGGGACTTTTTTGTTAAGCTGTAACATGCAGGTCTACACTGTCAACAGGCTTTCAAATTCAGTTAGCATCAGTAACATGTAGGTATTCTTTCTTCCATTTGCATTCCACAAAGTAAAATCACTTTTTTCTGCAGAACATGAACTGTATACTGTAGTATGATCAATAAACTGCTGTTTTGGCCTAATGCAAAATGCTTCTCGGACTAAGAAACGGAGTAGTTTAGTCCCCTTGCTAAAACATGCGATAAATACCTGCACTCATGATGTACTCCCTAAAGAATGGTATCCTGAACAGGCCCGCCAGCATCGCCAGGCTGGCTCGCACGCCGGGAAATGCCTCAGCAAAGCCACAGCTCTCCGTGCTGAAGCAGGTAAAGGCTCCAGTACACATGATGCCATGTGGGTGAGAACCCAGGATGTAGTTTTTGTTTGGATTCAGCTCTGCTGTCTTGACCAGCTAAGAAAGAACATTGACACAAGAAGGTTAATGTTGGTGATCACGGATGTTGCTGCTGTTAAACAACCATGCCCATTTTCACTCATCTGACTGAGGCAAAGATTAGACACTTGTTCTTGCAGGCTTTTGACTGCGTGCCCTGCGTGAGGGCCTCAAATATAATATGCTCTTTGTAAAGACTAATAACAGGATTTTAGGTTTCCAGTGCTTCAAGTGTGCACTGGAGTAAAAATGTATCTTTCCATACCCCAAAAACATCCCAACATGGAATTCAGTTGAACATTTCATAGGGTTTGAGATTTTTGAAAATATTAGCTGTCCTGTACACAGTAAGCATCTGTGTGTTAGAAGCAAATAAACAGATCTAAAGATATTTACCCAAAACTTACTTTAACGGGAAAGTAGTCTCTCATGTGCTCCCATACCTTCCACTTTCTCACAGACATCGTTCTTCTGCCCCCTGATGGAGACATTGAAAACCTTAGAAACACTGAGTGTCCCAGTTTCACAGTGCACGTTAGCAAAGCTAAAGAGTATCCTGATGTGATCACTAGTATGCAAAAACTGTATACTAAATACTAAGAGTTATAAAAACAATGGTAAAACTAAAATAAAGCTATTTTTAAGCAGCAACCGCATTTAATGTAGCCAGTATACATGTATATACTGTAAATCATAATTTTTGAGTGTGCTGTTACACACTTTAAAAGGTAGGCCTTTTATTAGTGTATAAACTGCATATTTTGTTTTTCGTATCGTCATTATTTTCATGCATACTTGAATTTCTTTACCTCTTTCGGGTTTATGCCAGTCCATCACCAACCATACAAAGTAGAGAGCAGACAGCGGCCACAGAGAGGTAAACATAAGATACACCATCAGTATGATACAAGCCACTCCTGGAGATGGATGTTTTTCATGCCATGTCGACCAGCATTGGAGTTGGGAAGGAGCAAGAGATTTATTTTATGAGTTAATTAATAATGCAATTAATACACTGATGTTTGTTAGGAAATCATTAAAAAAGGATAGTATGGCAACTTCTTACCCAAGAGGAGAAAGCTTAGCACCCACTGCAGAACACTTATTGACTCTAAAAACTCCTTCAGCTGAGTTTTTTCTCGAGTCATTCTTGCAACCTGGAGGCCAAACCATCATTTTTCAGCTATCAATAACATTTTAATGCGGACTCTCATTTAGTAAAGGTCACGACTGTAATGAATAGTATAGCGTATGGCCTTTGAAACGACAAAAGTGGCTTTATCCAAGATCATAAAATTTTAAATAGATGACTTTATGACAGACAACCGATTTCATTGATGACCAGCACATAAGCATGTACTCTTAAACTTCCTTTAGGGAAGAAAGAGGCTTGAAACCTTGGCAGACATGCAGGAGCCTGATCAAATGACTCGCTTATGAACAAGCTCACAGGCAAACTTACACGCTAGATTTTTTTTTAACCTGCTTAAAAGTTAAACTATTAGCAGTCCAGCCTAGTAACGCCGTAAAACAAGACCTAACCCTAACCAAAAGCAATTTTTATGCTGCAAAGTTCCATAAAATGTTGTATTTTACCTTAGTAGAGTTAATTCCAAAGTTAATTTGAATGGATGCAGATTCGTTGCTTCCCCGCAGATCAGCACTATGCACTTTGACCAGACCGTGTACAGCTGCTGATAACAACTCCACTCACCCAATACTTTGTGACACAAGTAACTTATGTCAGAGATAAACACAGCAAACGTTAATGGGATTTAATAAGATACTGCAGTTATTTAATCTTTGTACTTTTACATACAGTGATTTAATGTTATTTTGTCCTTTTTGTCTTTGGTCTGGTGATCATCAGGATTACATGTCAGTCTCTTTAGCTGGTGTTATTTCTAGGAATCGTCTCATTCAGCTTCACAGCCACTTCACTTGTAAAATACATAAAGCAGACTTCCCTATAAGTCTTCTCATGAGCTGATGCTGATTTTCCTGCTACTGTAAATGTCATGAATGTGTTTCTCTCCTAGATGTTGTTCTTGCTCACTGATTTACTGAGATCATTTCTACATGCCTGCCTGGTGATAAGGCTCTGCCCTGAAAGCTCAGCATTTCCTGCATGGTTCAGGAAAGTCAAGTGATTGTGCCCTATGCAGCACTGAGAGATTTCTATTGTAAAATAATGAGGAATAATGAACTGGTATAGCAACAGTGAAATAGTTTGGCATATAGGATCAAATAAGGAAAGAGTGAGGCTTAGATTCAGACTGATCAAGTTAGTTTTTTTTGACAAACTGATATTAAAAATGAGACATTCAGAAATAAACCACAGCACAGACCTTGCTCTCCTCCTCTTGCACATTTGCTCCTGTCAATCAAAGATTTAATGCAAAATCTTATACTTTATTTTGAAAAATTTGAATAAGGGGAGCAATTTTTAAAAATCTGACTTTCTCAAGTGGCGGTTTTCTCCATCAGCATCCACGAAAAAAACCCAACATGAATACAAAACACAAAGCAGACATTTGAAGTACTGTAGATATACTGCCACACCACTTCTCATAACACTAACCACCACTCAACTGCTCTGATCCTTAATCATATAAAGAGCTAAAGTCCCACTGGGTCCATCTCTATTTCACTAACTTTATATATCCTGTGCAGTGGAGAAGTTTCTGTCATCTGCTACTGTACTGGCCAGTCCAGGCTCAGCACTATGCCGTTTAAACATAGAAAAATTTGATTATTTTGTTTCATGTCCTGTCTACTGCACAGTAAAGGCTTGGATTTTCTTCTGGTTGGGCCTCTGAACCTATGCTGCTAATGTTGCAATATCACTGTTGACTGATAACAGTGATAATAATCTGTTAGTTATGGACATGACTTTTAAGGAATGTGTCAGGTGCAGGTGTACGGTCAGCATGCATGTGCTTTTAAGTTAGATTAATCCTAAATGGGCTAACACCAGATTTTATCCCAGCAGATCATCTTTAGGCTCCAACAGCGATAGATGCATATGACATAAACATCCAACACAGTGACTGATCAATATTTAGAAAAGTTTTAATCAAACCTAAACTTGGACTTTGGATTCACGGCTCCACTTGTGGCAGTCCAAAGATTCCACTGATACACATGATTACAGCGTGTTTCTCAAGAGGGAGCGCTCCTAATCTAGATATCTGAAAGATTCACTTTTAACTCCAACCCAGTCACCCATATAGTCTCCCGTTGACTTTAGGGGGCGTGTCAGCCTCACACAGGCCATGTGTTGGCTAGTTGGTCATGTGACAACGACCTTAAAAAAAAAAGAAAGAAAAAGGAAAATGCCAGTGTTTGATCACATCACCGGGAAATATGAAAGAAAATAGATCTGCACTAAACAGTGGGTATTTTCACATTTAATATTATGATGTCCTCTAATATTTTTTGCTTTCACTGCATGGTCATCTGGAGGCAGTTAATACAAAATGTTAATATTCCTCTGACGGCTTAGCCTACTTTGTGGTACTCAGCGCGGGCTTTTTGGCGAGCTTATTTTATACTTAATAGTATTTTATCCTCCATTACATCACCGCGATCCTCCTACAATGTTTTATATGGCAGGCTGACTTTGTTTTTGCACATCACAGCACTCTGGTGAAATAAAAGGGCTTTTTGTTGTTTGCATAAAAAGCCTTTTTTTAAAAAGTAAGGACATTTAATGAGTGTGCTGTTAATATGAGCAGTTTCTGTGGCTTTCACTTTCACTGAGCGATAAATAGCAGGATAACAGGAATCATTTTTCTCAAAACAACCACTGGGTTGCTCTCAGGAAGTACTGTATGAATATTAATATGGATGCAAATGCTCAGTGAGGATGCCCAGCGCTTGAACCAGCACAGCGCGCTGACATCTGCGCATTTTTTGTTTTGACGTTTTTTTTTTCTTCTTCTTTCTGTTCATCCCCGCATTTGTGAGCGTGTTTCTTTTGCGGATGATTTTGAAAGAAACACAGACACAAGGATGATGTCGGCTGGGGAGCATTTTAACGTCGCATTGAATTGCATATTGGTTTTCAATAAGATCTCGCACCGGCCAGTCTACAGCGATCCTCGGTAGTACAGTGCGCCGTTTATCCCCCTAAAAATGGAAGACCTTTCACGTCAAGAAAAGGCGTCAGTCCGGTGATCGGCGTCTGAATATCTAATTTTTTATTTCCACGTCAATTGACACATCTGGGAAAGGATTCATTTCCCTTCCCTTCTGTTTACCAAGACAGCTGTGTCATCAACAACCGGCGTGGTTTTGTTGTTGTCTGATTTTTTTACGAGTCTGGGGAACTGGTTTAGGCGATCGGCACAGTCTACCTCTGCGCCAGCCGTAGACTCTACAGCTATCAAGGTAGGTATCACACCTTCATTTGTGTTTTGTTTTTGCTGCATAAATCACAAAATCGTTTAGCCCACGTAGAGAGCTGTCGTGGTTATGGTGGTTATGGTCTGCCTTATTAGCAAATGAAAACATGGTATATTGCGGAGGGACGTCGGGCATTTTTACGCGTAAATTTCACCAGAGTGCACGGGTGACAGCGAGCCGCCGTGTGTTCACTAGCCAAATTGTTCAACCTTGAAGCCTCGCGGCTCGCGTCATTCAATGCGAGGCCCGTATTTTAGCCCCAAACGTAAAAGATCCGTGCAGATATCGCCACATCGCCACGCAGTAACAACCCACAGCTCGTGTACAGTCGTGACATCCCCGTATAAATATTTCACCAGAAAACAAGCCCGCATCAGCTGACTATTGATGCTGAAGCATGCACGGCGCTGTTAATCAAAATATCTACAGCACAGCGGTGACAGGGGCGGCAGTGTTTGGCGTCTTAATCTGCATGGCCCTGATGGGAAACATCTGCATGTTTACGGATTATACGAGTCCGTAAATGCAGCACGGTTGTGTGTTTTTGTGTGTGCGTTCGTGCGTGCGTGTGTGAACGGGCGGTAATACTCTGATTGTGAGTATAGGGGTGACGTGTGTGTGTATGTGTGCGTTTGTTTGTGCGCATCCAGGTGAGGATGTGTTGGCGCGTCTTGGAGGTGCGGGAGAGAGAGGCAGGCGTCTGGATGGAGGGAGCCACATCACTAGATTTCTTTCTCTTTTCTAAAGGGAAAGCCATCTGGTGATTAATACTCGATCAACTGCCGCAGTGTTCTTCCTTAGATCCTCCATAAGACGATTCAAAAGCGTCGAGAAGTTGTGAATTGAACGCAAAATTAAGGCTAGTCAGCAATGTCTCCCCCCCTCAACCCATACCCCATACCCCACCCGCCTTCCGGGCGTGACAGCCTCTAAACAGCCTCTGAACAGCACTCCTGCTGAGAGATTTCTTCGTCACAGTCCACCCTAAAAAGAAGAAGAAAGGCAAGAAAACACAAAAAAAAAAACCCAAAAACAACTTGTAATTAGACTGCTTCAAAATATTACAGATAGGAAGCTATGTTGGAAGAAAATGGAATATCCATACAGTTTATTGTAGGTATTAACTGCCTGCCACAAAACAAATAAAAGCATTTAAAAAGGACAAAGCAGTCCCAACATGAATAATGAAGGCCTCCCCTTTGAATGTGCAATTAATGTAATCATTTGCCTTTAAAGATGCTGGACCAGCAAGACTGAATACTTCACTGCTTGAAACTGAGACTGACACTATTTACTAGCTAGTCCCAGTTGACCTTGGAGCTTAATAAGACCAAAATCTTCCTATACGTTCATTTAAATCTAGCTTAGGTTAACAGATGCACATAATCAGGGTCAGTTATGTGAGCATCTCTTGTGCAGTTTGGCTTAACCACTCCTAGCTACAGAGTGGATCGGGGTTGGGTGAGAGCAGCTGTGACTTTGGGGTCATTGAGTGCAGGCTATGAGCTACGCATGCTGTGCAGTGTGTTTTGCATGCAGAAGAAAACCGGTGCTCAGACCACCTGTCACTGACTGCCGGGCTCACCTAGTGATCTCAAAATGTGATTGTAGCGAAATGTGATTAAAAACAGGAAGTGGCAGCTCTGCGTTGCGGGCCGCAGTCATTTTATTGTGGTATTAAAAGCAGGAAGTGGTGGGAATTAAATAGAGTGGGTTTCATTTCATGCCCTTCAATCCCAGA